TCGTTAAAACGTGATACGTATCTCGTTAAAACGTGATACGTATCTCGTTAAAACGTGATACGTAGTTTCATTCATTCTGAAGGTGGTGGTTGTCTCTCGTGAATGCAACAAAGGCAAGCACAATGGCTAATTTACAGGAGTTGGTCAAGTTTTACTTCATGCTCGGGGTAAGACATGGAGAAATCCTTATGCTTCTGCGCACAGTGGATAACGTTATGATTAGTATGAGCACTTTGAGAAGGATCCTCGAAAAAATGGGACTCCACAGAAGAAAAAATCAATCCGATCCTTTGGATGTTGCTGCCTTCCTCATCGACCAGCTGGASAGTTATGGGAGCCTCCATGGATATAAGTTTCACCACCTTAAATGTATTCAGCATGGATATGTTGTGAGTCAGACTACAGTAAGACATCTGTTAAAATTCCTTGATCCCAGTGGTGTGGAACGAAGGCGAAGGAGACGGCTGATGCGACGAGTGTATTTAAATCCTGGGCCTAATTTCATGTGGCACGTAGACTCCTATGATAAGCTGAAGCCGTTTGGYATATGTATTAACGGAGCAATCGATGGYTTTTCAAGACAAATGATATGGCTTCATGCTTTCTCTACAAGCAGTGATCCTAAAGTCATCGCTGGATATTTCATAGCAGAAGTTGAAAGGAGGATGGGGACACCTGCCAGAATCCGTGCCGATTTTGGAACTGAAAACGTCACAATGGCAGAAATGCAGAAATTCCTGCGATGGAGTGCTGATCCCTCCGCAAGTAACTGCTTCATTTCTGGATCCAGCAATCATAATCAACGGATTGAAAGCTGGTGGGGCTTTTTGAGGACTCATCATGCTCAATTCTGGATGAATCGTTTTCATGATCTGAAAGAGAATGATTATTTCTCTGGTGACTTTTTGGACAAGCAGCTTGTTCTGTTTACTTGTCTGAAGATAGTTGAGGTACGTCAAAACATCAAAGCTGTCATGCTGGTTTTCTTTCTGTGAATGCTTGTTTGTGTTTGCAAGAGTAAAGGAGCGCGGGGCAAAAAATAAAATAATGTATTTATTCATTATTTAAAATAGATCGCTGATGCCATTTCTGTTTCAAAATAAAAATAGAACTCCCTCCCAAGTCCCCCAGCCCCTCCCCAGTGAAAAATAGTGTTTTGTTTTAAAACTAAATTATGAAATAGACAGTTACAAAAAATACGATAAAACGGGCTATGTTTATTATTAAAATGTGGAACCCGAGTGTTAGTACTGATCTAATTAAAACTGAAGCGTCTACCACGCCGCCCTCTAGTAAAACACAAAAATTCAGAAAGACAACAAATAATCTCAATATAAATATAACAGCAAAAGTAAATAACTTCAAAAATATCGGAGCAAAACAAATCCAAACAGCAAATATATAAAGAATTATGAAAATAATTCAAAAGAGGCAACATAAACTAAAAATAAATTAAAATTGCCACATAAACGCTTCTCTTTGACTGTCTTAATAGTCGCTGTTCACATTGTGGTGCTGAAAACGCAACGGCTACTTGTCTACCTTAATTTTAACAACGTGAAGATGTCATAATGAAGTGTGTGTCGAACACACACACACTTCAGTTGTCTTACAGAATACCTGCAGGCTATTACAGAATACCTAAAGAAACATAATTAAACCGACAAAGAATAACCATATCAAATAAACATAAGTAAAAGCACTAAGTAGTACTGAACCAAAGGAAAACAGGAACCAGACAGATTTAACCAAATTAATAACGTAACACAAAATAATTACGAAACTGGAATGAGTTGAAAACAATTCAGCAACCCGCGATCCCTGAAGATGCAGGGAGAACCAGGAGGTTTAATACCACATGGAGTCACTATAACTGCCGCCCTTAAATCCCAAAAAAATTCAAATTGCAAGCTTTCAACTAAGGCAGGTTTTAATTTAATTAGCTAAATAATGTTTTTTAAAAAAGACATTGCTATACCAGCATTGAACGTCTTCAAACAACACATCTACTGATCCATATGTTGGCAATCGGTTTGCTGTAGAAATCTAATCAAATTATATTTGTATGAATCCGCAATTCTAGTTAACTTTATCAAAGAAACAGATGTTAAATCATATTTTGATGAGTTTCAAATCATCAAAATATATGCAATAAATCTACAAGTATGTAATGAAGTAACATAATACACAAAGTAGATGTCAAACTCGGCAAAAACTCCCCTGAAATAAAAAATATATTCTATTTACAGTAACTAATTTTAAAATTATGCTAATAAAGGTAATTGCTGCTTTTACAGTGCTACAGCCAGCACTGATCCAGTCTCTTCATCTGACACCACTGTGGCACACAGTTTTGCTGAATCTGCTGCACGTCAGTTTTTTTTTTTTTTTTTTTCTGTGCAGCATATCCACAAAATGTCTCCTTTGTTGGACTGCTGCATTTTGTATTCCTGATGGCTTAGGCATAAACCTTGTTCCATGAGCTTTAATGGCTGTGTGCCCTCTATAAGTTTAGCACAAAGTTCTTATGTATCATGTTGCAAGACATAAAAACCAAAAACTATATATTAATTTAAAATAGCTGGAGRAAAATTCAAACTCTAGATTTTTAATTATTCTATTTTTTTGAAGTGTGACTGTTTTGACACAGAACACAAATAAGTCATGCATGGATTAATTAACCAAACATCTGCTTTTTATTCTTGAGAGTAAGCTTGCATGAATCTGCTGCTAGCATATTATGATATATCACTTACATACCGTCTTGCAATGGTATGTAATTGATGTTATAACATTTGAAATGTTATAAATTTCACATTTTCACTCCGTCCGCATATCAGTTTTAAAAGTTTCCCTTTTATTTCAGAAATAATGTGTACCCTACCTACAAATGATTCAGAAAAGGAAGTATTTACACAAATCTTAACTGAACATTAATTTGCAGGAGGAGCTCCAACTGGTTTCCCACCTGTGGAATACRCACATCATCCGGCACAGCAGAAATACAGTGGCTCCAAGTGGACGTCCAGTTCTTATGTACACCATCCCACATCTGTTTGGTGGACAAGAATATCTGGTGGAGGTTTCCCAGGAGGCAGTAGATGCTTGTAAAGAAGAATGCCGGCAAAGAGGAGCTTATCCTTGTGATGAAACAGTTTTCAGCTTGTGTTGTCATATAATGTCTGAGAACTTTTTACTTGCACCATCCACAGCAGATGAAGCCATTGAGTTATACAAATTCCTCAGAACATACATACGTATGGCCTTATAAATGGTGCAATGCAGCTTATCATGTTAGCATAAGTTTTTTTTCTTGTTGCTTATGTGTAACAGTGAACATTTTTTCACAATATTTTGGAGGAAAAAAAATCAATAAATAAATCTGGAAAACCAATTATAAAAATAACCCTAAACCAATATATTGAGCTGAAATATCCAAAAAATAGAATAGGACATTAACCAATTGATGATGCTGGTCTTTTAAATGCATGCCTTTTTTTTTTTTTAGCTTTTTGATGTCTACTGAATTTTAGGTTTACATAATGAAATATGTGGCATTTCATGGCCGTCAATTTTATTCATTCAACACTTACAAAAACTAACCATTGTTTTAATAGTTTGGGTATTAAATAATTATATAGCCCATTACTTCAACTTCAAGAGTTCAGTTTTCCATTACAAAGCTGAATATCCAACAGAAAATTATATTGAAATCAAATTGATGAAACTGTTTGCAAACACGTTTATTTTMTGTCAATCAACAACTACTCAGATGCATAATAGAAATGTTTTACATTAAGTGAAAAAACATTTCATAGAAAAACATGTGTTTACATAATTCGGTATWTTTCTTTTATGAACTCTACAAAAACATGAACTCAGTTTGAAACCAAAAAGGTGCTCGGTGCTTCAAACACTCAAATCCTTCACACTCTGTGAAAACAACAGGTTTTGCATGTTATGTAAAAAAAATAAAATTACAATGAAAACATATGGTTACATAACTGTGTATATTTGTGTTACGAACTCTACACAAACTTCTGGTCTGAAATCAGAAAAGTTAGCTCTTCAACATTACTGTGAAAAAAATTCTTAGCATATTGTGCACTTTTCATTTAATTTAAAAYCTCACTTATTTTTCTTTCCTTTGCCATAATGATGCATTGCAGGRTTTATGTTTTAATCCCATTATCTCTGCATTTTCTTCTTTTTTGGTTTTGGTACTAAATGGCATAATTTGACCTAAACTATGCTGAACTCAAAGGAGTTTTGATTAAGCAGTATGCTGTCCATTTCACAACGAAGCTCTGGGTATGAACCATAGGTCCATGGAAGCTCCAGAGCTGGTCCACAAGTATGTGCAATAGGTCRCCTTGCCAGACCTTCTACTGGCGTGAAGATCACCTCAACTTTGTTTACACAGATAATATCAGAACCTGTAACAAACCTTAGCATTCTTCTAAGTCCTGGATCATCCAGTCCTCTTATGTACTGCTGTAGAAAACGAAAGCTCTGACTCTCTGCTTGAGTAGTAGGAGAGGCCTCTAGCAACTTCAAAAACCTTTTTGTTGTTGCCTTTTTTTCTTGGTACATCTGGAGGAGAGCTTGTGGACTACAAAATGACTCCTTCAAAATGTGGCTAGCAGTTGACGACATTTGTTCTGCAGCATACCTTGGTTTTTGGATCAGGTGCTTGTGTGCTGCGTTTAGAAGGAGTCCTTTTAAATTATCTTGTGTTGGAAGTGTTGTTACATTTAAGCGATCCAGAAGATCAACAAGTTCATCTCTGTCCTCATCTAGACAGCCTGATTTTAAGACATTGCTCACAAGATCTCTGTCYGACTGACTGATGTACAGGAGAAGGCTTTCAAACAACATCTCCTCAGACACTTCACTCTCACCAAAAATGAGAGCAACTGTAAAAGCAGGGGCAAGGCGACAAGGAAAGTATCCATGATCTTTAAAGCCCTTAAGCAGTATCCGGCCAATGGATTTCCACTCTTGTTTTTGCCATCTGTTAGGCAATGATGGAACCCTTACCTCCTCCCCTTCTCCGATGCGGTCCATAAACTCAGTCCAAAACGTGGTATACACATCTCTTGAGACACCATCTGCATCAGCTCCCTTTTCATCTATAAAACAAAATTTTAGTGTTTGTCTAAGGAGTATTTTATCCTTGAACTGTGTTATCATCTCCTCAAGAAGATTGCTCCTGTGTAGTTTTATAGTGATAGACACTATTTCATTTGAAGCTGTGCNGTTAAAAACCTCTTCAGCAAACACATGAATGGAAAAATGACGATAATTCTTCAGTTCTGGACAAGGTTTATTTAGCGAGACTGTTGGGAACATGTAATCACAGCGAGATGTAAAATCGGACTGAACAAAGGGCGCGCACACGCTCGAAAGCGCGCTCACATTCTTAAAGGCACAGTACACCACAAGAGCAACTGTAAAAGCAGGGGCAAGGCGACAAGGAAAGTATCCATGATCTTTAAAACCCTTAAGTAGTATCCGGCCAATGGATTTCCACTCTCGTTTTTGCCATCTGTTAGGCAATGATGGAACCCTTACCTCCTCCCCTTCTCCGATGCAGTCCATGAACTCAGTCCAAAACGTGGTATACACATCTCTTGAGACACCATCTGCATCAGRTCCCTTTTCATCTATAAAACAAAATTTTAGTGTTTGTCTAAGGAGTATTTTATCCTTGAACTGTGTTATCATCTCCTCAAGAAGATTGCTCCTGTGTAGTTTTATGGTGATAGACACTATTTCATTTGAAGCTGTGCTGGTGCTTCCTTCATCATCTAATGCGGGACTTAAGTGAGTTCCGCTTGTGGATGGAATTTCCAGAGATGTATGAAGTCTTGCTCATCTCCTTCAAACTGATAGATGATGGTGGCATCAAGTTCACCTAGAACAGGCTCTGCATTTGAGACTGGGCTGAAAGTGACTTCGGATTCATCCAAGTCTGATGACAGATTGAAAAGAGGTTCACTTTCTTGGTCATTTTCATCTAAGTCTGTTGTTTGTACATCATTTCCTTCAGATTCCTCTCCCTCCAAGTTGATCTTACTTGTTGTYGAAAAGTAAAATCTCAACCTTCCTAATCTGACCACTGAGTACAGTTCTCCCACTGTAATGTTGTCGTCAAGCACAGCTTCTTCCTGGAAGTCCAGTATGTCATGATTTAATGTGTCCAAACTTCCAAATCTACATTTTCCATTGGAGAAAAAAATTCTCTGGAATAATTAATAAGATTTTTTTGTGTCTTTGGGTACATCAAGTGTCCTTGTTCCACCTCCCTTGCGTGTCCTGACTTGTTTTCCATCATGAATCCACCCCAGCTCAATTCGTCTTGTCTTTTTTTGAGCCCATTTATTGGATTGTGCATTTGTCCTTGTCTGTTTTGTTGCACTTGTGTCAGCTTGATTCAAATTTTCATCACTACTTTCGAGGCCCATTTTTCCTCTTTAGTTTTTCAAGGAGGGATTGTTTTTTTGAATCTTTGGGATTTGTGCCTTTTTGGTCTAAGCAAAAGCGTCTTGCTGCTATTCGGTCACCATAAGTTGGAATGTATTCAGATAGAGTTCCATCATCCATACAGTCAATTACTGTAGCATCAATCTGTGTAGACAGAAATTCATATTAGAACTCACAGGGAAACTTGACACCTAGTGCAATATCCTGTGGCAACACACACAATTTTTCTTTCATTTTGTCTCACACAGCATGACGTTGCAAGATTAAATTGTTTTTTTTTT